GCTGGTGCGCGCCACAAATACAATCGCGCTGTAGTTGCTTCAGCTGCCTGGAACACTGAAAGTGCAGTCTGAAATTCCTCACGGTTGCGATTCGCTTGTCGTCCGGTTAATAAGCGCAACCAATTGCAACAACAACAACCTGCATACTCATACAAACATGAATATGTATGCATACATATAAATGCATAAACAACACCCAATGACGGACTGCTGTAATGACGTCGTTGACGCGCAGCCATAACAACAACAACAGCAACAAAATGCAAAACAATGTGACAAGTGGAGATTACAATGCTTTTTAATTGTTCGTTTGTATGTGTGTATGTATGTGTGTATGTATGTATGTATTAGCATAATAAAATAATTCATAATGCAGCTGGCAAACAACACCCACAAACCCTCAGAGCTCTCAGCCACATGGGCGAAGGCCGCGTAACGAGTGGCGCGATAAAAGCCAGCAGTCTGTAGCTGTGGCCTGAGTGAGATTTGGAAATTTCGAAAGCGTATTAGAGCGATGCTGCGCATTTGGTGAAGTCTTTGTTTAGACATACTGGTCGCTGAACTCTTTTGAAAGTAAATAAATTGAGAAATTTTTGAAAAAAAAAAATTGCCAAAGTACAACCGAGGCTGGTTGTTGTTTATGTAGACGTAATCTGCGTCTTAATTTTCAGATTTTGAGTGCTTAATATTTACAGGCAACTTAAAGCGTCATTTCAAAAGCAAACAAAAGCCTTTATTATGATATTTCAAAATTTTTTATTATTATTTTTTTTTTTTTTAGTCAAGACATTTTTATGTTTTTTATACTTTTTTATATTATTTTTTGTACTTTTTTTTATAAATTTCTTTCTTATAAAAGCCTAAAGTTTTTGATAATTTTCAATTTTCCTTTTCAAATTACTTTTGTTTCAAAAAGCTGGCAACTCTACCTCAAAAACACATGAAATGCAATGGTTTTACAATAACTTTTCGTCTGATAACCATATTGTGGTTGTTCATTTAATAAATTTTAATAAAATTACGTAAGATGGCAACTCTGTGCCAAAATAAATTGCAGTTTTAGCTTCAAATATATATTTCAAAAATGCTGTTAAAGCATCATTAAGCAGTTTAAATTATTTTTGAAATTTCTATTTAGTTTAAAAAATATTTCTATTTTTCATAACTTCTGAAACAATTTTTTATAGTTTTTTTTATAAATATTTATGTTGGCAACCTCATTTTTCAAAACTGCATAAAAATAGAATGTACAAAAAATATCTTAACATTTTTTTGTAGCCTACTTTTTATTTCAATAAGATGGCAACTCTATCTCAAAAGCACATAAAATGCAGAGCTTTTAGAAAAGCTTTTCATATGATACCCATATTGTGGTTGTATATATATTTATAAAAAAATTTAAAAGTTGCAAAAATAAATGGCATTGCATTAAGTGTTTTAATGGTTGGCAACACGTTAAAATTTAAACTCCTGAAAAAGCTGTACTAAACATTTCTCTTTGGTTATAGAGCTCTTAAAAGCTTTTAAGTACTTTCAATAACTTTTTTATTTCGACATAAATGGCAACTCTGCGCTTAAATACGTCTGACACAAAGCCTTTTTAATGTCATATATTTTTTCATTTAAATGTTCTTTTCTTCAAGTTGGCAACTCTGAAAAAAAATATTTGTAGAACAATTGCTCTCATTTAGGCCTTTTGCTTGATGCCCATCTTGTTGGGTTTTTTATTAAAAAAAAGGTGGCAACTCAATACTCATTATATTAAATTTAAAGCTTCCTAAAAGAATACCCTCAATAACTTTTTGTGCTTTTAAATCTTTTGAATAATTTTAAACATTAATTTTTATGTATATAGCAATCCTGTGCGCACAAAATATTTTTGTTTATTAGCAATTTAATAATAATTTTTGTTTTTAAATAGATTTTGGTTTTAAAATAGCTGGCAACTCTATACAAAATTATGTAAAAAATAATGAATTCACGAACTATTTTTAGTTTGTTATCCTTATTGTGGTTTAATATATAAAAAAAAAATTTTTTCCTTAAATAGGTGGCAGCATTAAATGCAATGATTTTACAAAAGCAAAAATACATACAAATACTACAATTTTAATACTGTGTCCAAGACTTTTCGTTAGATATCCATAATTTGATGTTTTATTGTATATAATTTCCATTTTCTCAAAGGTGGCAACTCTGAAGCCAAAATTTAAAATGTTTTCTTATACACTTTTTTCATTAAAATCAATTATCATGCAGTTTTCCGAAAAATATCATTTATATAAATTTCAATTTTATTTATTTTTTTATTTAGTTTTACAGCTGGCAACCCTAGGCAAGTTAAAATTAATACTTTCACAAAAAAAAATTATTTTGCAAAAAATGTTATAATTCATTTATATAATAATATTTCTATTTAATTTGAGTTTCGAAACTCGTTGGCAACCCTATACAAAGTACACGAACCATCATTTCACTTTGGCTGTGAGTGTGAGCAGCTCAACTTTCATGTCCAAACAATAACATCTTGCCAAGGTACAAATCTACGTCATACCACACGATTTACCGTTTTTGGCTGAGTCGACATAATAAATCATTGCACATATGTATATACTCGTATATATGTAGTATAAATATACATACTCGTATATATGTATGTAAGCGTTCATTATTGTTGTAAGCTGTGTTAGCAGTTTCTAGTATTTCCTTTAAGAAAACTCATTTTTCATTATTTACTTTTTTGATTAAGCAATTTTACACCAACAAAACAAGCGACGAATGTCGGCAATTAAAAAAAAAATAATAAAAAAAAATAATAATAAAATATGAAATAAAAAAAAATTCAACACGACAAAACTAATGCGACGCCGGGAGTCACTCAGCTGTGGGTTGCATGCATCCGTTCGTTCCTTTTTGGCAGTTACTGTTGCTCGTGTTGCTTCGTTGCGCTTAAGGCGTCATAACCAGCGCTCTTCGGTCACAATGTGGCGTCAATCGTCGTATTACACAAGTTTATGAAGGTTAAAACTTGATAGTTCAGTGCTTCTGCCGGAAGGAGAGGCGCTCTCAATGCTTTATAATACGTGAGCGGCTGAGAGAGCTACATGAGATGATTTTTTGGCTGCAAAGTTCAGGACTCTTTAATCACAGTTTTCGATTTAACTCCACATAGGATAATAGATTCGTAGTCATTCGATTAGAGTATGGTTCATTTAACAAATCAGAATTTATGGCAGAGAACTGGAGGATCTAGAGTTTGCCCAAGAGAAAGAGGAGCTTCTGTGTTGTCAATTTTTCAAAGAACCCAATCGTAGTCAACTTTCGGACGAAGGTGAGCTAATAGAGCTACCAAGCTTTCCAAGCTCAGTCCACCGGCTAACTTCCTCTGCCTTACAGTTGAGCATGAGCAATTGCTATAATACTTCCTACAAGGCAAGGAGAAAGTGCCATTATAGCTAGTGATGTGAAGGAGAGTCTATCTTGAAGACCTGCACGGCGGTTTGACCAACCTCCCTGAGCCTAACTAACTCTTAATGCTCAGGGACGCAGAGTTTCCAGATTTTACTACGCTAAACTAAGTTTTGAGTGGTTGGCGGAGAGGGCAATATTGTCTTCCAGAAAATTCGTAGATCAATCAACTTTTCGACCTGTTCAGATGCCTCAACCTGCAACACTGAGACAGTTTCGTCTTATTGATGAAATCAGATTTGATTGCGTTTGCAGCTCTGCCCTAGTTGGATTGATAGAAATTTGGTAAAGTCCGTTCAAGCAACTCACTGAGCTATATGTTAAACAAAAGTCTGTGCGGACGGTTAATGGAAATAACTCCAAAACCAAGGGTGTTCCTCTAGGCTCCATTTGCTCGTTTTTAACAACGAAGGCCAGTCCAGGAGACTACTTCAGCGCGTTGGCTTACTTAGCCAAAGCGGGAGTGGACGAGGTCGCGTGTCGTTTCTCTATAGCGATTAAGATTAAGTGGGTTTCTCTCTCCTTCACAGCCAATGGACAAAGTAAGGTCGAATAAAGGCATGAATACCAACATTGAGGTGTTAAAATCCGACTTTCTCGCTGCGAGTCAATCGATATGCACGGAGGGACAAACTTTGCATGCATCAAGCACGAAACAGCACTTTCACGGCTCAGAAAGCCGGCAAATTTTACATGGGCTAACGAAGCTCTTTCTACAAATGAGTCATTTTCCATTTTAACGCTCCGAGAAAGGGAAGGTAAATTATGTTTCCCTGCCCTTACAGCGGAAGGGCAAATTAGAGTCTTTCCAATACATGAATCACCATCTCCAAGAGCACAATAACCGATCGACTTTCGTCGGTCGATTTTCCACGCTTCTACGTATCATTTTCTGGAAATGAGTCATTTACAACTTTTGGCTCAGCAACTCTACTGTCTTCTACATTATCTCATAAAATTTTTCACGCTTTCGATCTCCAACTCGCGCGCTAATATTTTCCGCTCAACTGTAGTGACGTCATTGAGCAGAAACTAGCAATTAATGTCACGCCTCATCACATGCGAGCTCAACCGTCAACGGAATGTTCATAAAATTATAAAAATAAGCAAAATTAAAACAAACAAAAATATTCCATTTGAGATTCCGAACTATCGAGCTCAGCTAAAGAATTTCACACAACACGCCCACAGATCTTTAATTCATGGCGCGTACGCCGCCGCAGCCTATATGAATGAATAGTAGTTGGACGCCGCGACGCAGACCCAAGCAAATAGAGCGTGTTACTGTGGCAGCGCTGCTGCATATTTAATGAGATTTATGGCGGCGCGTGGACGAATGTCGGTTAAAGTTACTTGATTAAGTCTGCGTGCGTAAAGAATTTCTAAAAAAAAAAGGAATATCAATAAGCTTATGAAATGCTAAATCCTCCTTGGGTGTGGTACAAGACTATGTCTTCATAAATGAGTACGGTTCGCAAATATCAGGGCAGCTCGCAAACATTTCAGGATGTGAGCTCCCGCCACACACTTACCTTTTTCGTTTGCGTCTGGCCGCGTGTAGCTGGCACATCGGAGTCCCATTCGGAGCTCAAATCATCGCTCGAGGCATAACCATAATCGCGCGGCAGCGGCACCTCCAGAAAGGACATGGAGTACTGTGTATAACCGGGACATAAGTTCTGTTGCTGCGGTGAGGGCGAGCGACGCTGCAGCTGCAATTGACGACGCATAGCACAACCCGGTAGCTCACGTGGTGGCACCATTATTGTGGGCGGCGCGTAAGCGGGCAGTCCATGTGCCTGTGCAAAGGCGTGACTATATTTGCGTTGCATGTGCGACTGATTGCTGGCGGACTTTTTGCGTAGCATCTTTTTGCTGGAAGGTACTGGGTGTGGATGTGAATGCCCATGTGTGGCTAAATCCTGTGCGGGCGAGTCTGGGCGTGAGAGTTCGTCAGCCTCGCGTTCAGCGCTCTCTTCATCCACATCCTCTTCCTCCGCCTCATTGTACTCCGCTTCCTCTTCCTCTGGTTCGTGCTGCTCAGCACGTTCTTTTGCATTTTTCCGTTGAAAGATGCCATTCGGTGCTAATGGCGCGCCAAGACGACAACCACCCACGCGTGCAGCACACTCCACGCAATTGCTGTGGTCTACTTCGAAGGCCTCCTCAGCGTACTCTGTATTACCTTTATCCGCGTCATCATCATCATCGAACTTCATATTGTCCACCTCCTCGGGCGGCACGTCGGGGAAGTGCAGCAGCTTGACGGTGACCTTCCGGCCGGCTTCGTTGTAGTATACCTCTTTGGCGCTCATTTTATCGAAGTCCTCGTAAATGCGTACTTGCGGAAATGCGCACAAAGACATTGTCACACATGCGTGCGCGCTCACGGGGTAACGGTCTCACTTCACGTTCAAGTTCTGTTTTCACGACACTTTGGAGTTTTTGAGTTTTGGAAAAAGTTTGATTTTTTGATTTCAAGTTTTTTCTTTATTTATTATCTTCTTTTATATGAGTTTGATCACGGAGAGTTATCAGCCCATTGTCTGTTTAACATTTTAACACACTGTTAACTTATTTCGTTGTTGCTCACTTGCCGTGGCTACCGTTGAATGAATGAAAGCTCGGAATCTGAAAAATTTTTTATATTCACAGCTGCATTTACTGGTTGTTACTCAGTCGCCTGCTGGCTTGTGTTTGGTTTTACAGCGAAAAATTTTCTTGGTGATTTTTTATTTACACTTCACAACGTAACTGTTTTTCCAATAAATATTTCGCGATGGGAAAGACCCTGCCTTTTAATGTGTGTAAATTTCCACTGATAAATAAAGTGTTGAGTCAGCTCTAAGCGAGAGCACCTAAAGGGTGACTCCTTACGTGACAATAGAAGAGCTTTACACGAAAAAATTAACCGAGCCATTTACATCCCATACCCACTCCTCCTCTGGTTAGCAGACACTGCGCGTGGACTTAAGTAAACTCTTTAGCCGAATATGTTAAGGAAGCTTCACTGAAACTGGCTGTTGTTGCTGTTGCAGATATTCCACAAGCCTGCTTTGGAGCAGACAAAGTGAGTCCTTGTCGTCGAGGGTCATTTAACCATAGGCTCAAAAAAGGAGCTCTTACGAAGGGGAAAAGACCTTCAGATGAGTATATTTTAATGCTAAGCAGATGTTAGTGTCGTGCGGGTACTCATTGCATGCTGATATACGACGGATAGATTGGGGTCGGGTAGGTGTGAAGTCTAGTCTAGACTTAAGTAGGCTCACTTCGGATTAGACTGAGAGTCTTCTCCCCATAGGCTTCAATCGCATCACCTATAAAACTAGTCGCTTTATTATAATCTGATTTCACCGGTCAGCTTGAGCATCTCGTCGGCTAAAAGCGGTGATCGGGCTGCGATAACGGCATGCCCTTGATAGGGAATTGTGGCAGAAGATATAGCTACTTTCTGCCTACTATCTCATTACTCGTCAAATCTTCCCCTCAGTCGGAGGACTCTTAACATGACCAGAACGTCTGCCATAAACCGAAATAGTTGCGCAATCACTAGTCGAAGTTGAGCTCAATGTATCGGAGAGAGAGAGAGAGAGAGGTGGTTAGTTAGCATCCAAGCTACCTCTAACGAAAACAGAACGGTACAAGCATGAAAACGTTAGAGTATCTCTGTCCGCATAACTTCAGGGCATACTCGAAGTAGAGAAGAATTGAAGTAGTCGAGAAGACTACACAAAAATTGAAAAAACATTTCTATTATGACATTTCTCACCGAGGAACGACCACACTTCTATCTACTTTGGAGCTCTGAAGCTAAAGAAAGCTAAGCTCGTTGGATAATTCTACCCGCCAAGCCTTTCCCAGCAACGCTAGCTCGATGCTACAGTGCGCATTTCTTATACACCTGTTATTAGCCGAAGGCATACTAAGAGCGTCGCCTCGCAACGAATGACTTCTACACTAAGAACTTAGTGTTTAGGCAGTGTACCAGTGCAGATTGATTTATGGAATACGACTCAGTAAGCCTGGTCCCACCAAACTTTCACGGAGAGTGAAAAGTACAATTCAAACTGACTCCAAAGCAAGATAGAGTTGGGGAAGAGCTCCGCCACCAACGGAATAGACGCTCTACAATGTATTGACTGTTCGCCACTTTTGTTACATCCACGAATGTTGCACATTTTCTGCAAGACTTCGAGCTCGCCTATCTTCTATCTACAAATCCTACATCACCTGCTTACACACAGCCCGACGTCCGTCGCCAGTGTGGCAATTAGCTGCGACCATCCAAAAAAAAAAAAAACAGTAAAATTAACAACTTCATTCCCAATGAGCTATTAGCAATTCGAATGTGCGTGAAGCATCAAGCACGTCAAGGCGACAGCCACGGAGCACACCAGTGACACACAGTGCGAATGGTGAAGTCGAGCATTGCAAAGATATTGAATTACCAAAATACCAAAAGAATATTACACGTTTTGACATTTTTCGACTGCCAACCGTCAGCCGGCAACCATCAGCCAATGGCGAACTAAGCATCCGCACGCACCGGCGGCAGCAGTAATATTTTATCACCCGAGGTGCGGCGACAACGACATTTGTAAAACAAACGTTGTGACATTGCAGCGCATGCGCGGCGAATGCAACTCGTCTTGCCAAAATACCATGCAAGTCGAGAGGAGAATTGAAGAATAAAATTACAAAAAATATAAAATCAAATGCAAAAAATGAGAAAAATCTTGAAAATTTCAATACAAACGATTTGTATGGCATAACAAATGCCTGTAGTTGCGCCATAAATGGCATGACTGCAAGAATTCATTGACATTAAATCGGAAAATCATCAGCGTTCTTGGGAGGGCGAAGTGGCAGAGCGCGGCGTGTAGAATATTTAAAATTAAATTGATTTTTCTTATTAAATATATTATATCTAATTACCTTTGTCTAATTCATTTTTGAAATAAATTTTTTAATTTTTATTTTTAAATATTATTTGGATTTTTTTTTCTTATTTATTACCTTTAAAAAATTTTTGTATTTTTTTTTTACTTTTTTTTTATTATTAAATTTTTATATAATTTTTATATTAATATTAAATATTTTTTAATTTTTTTTTTGCATTTTATTTATTAAAAATTTACATAATTCCAATTAATTAAATTTTTTATTTCGTTGTAATGCAAACAAATTAAGTAAAAATTGAATAAACAAAAATTTGATTCCCTTTATAATTTACTTTACAATAAAAATAATTTTAAAATTGTGTTTCCGGATTTTTAACTAATAAATAAAAAATTTTATTTTTTATTTTTGTATATTTTATTAATAATTATTAATGAATTTCATTTAATTTTCAATTTGTTAAATAATTTTTTTATATCTCTTTAATTTCTTATTAATATTTTTTATTGATATTCAAATTCTTATTTTTATTTTAGCCTTTTGTTTTAATTTTTGAATTTAAATTTTGTGTCATTTCTTTTTCATTTATTTTATTATAGTTTTTTATGGTTTAATATTTATTTCCTCCCCAATAATTTTTTCATTAACAATTTTAATTATATTTAAATTATTGTTTTAACTTTTTAATTATTAATGTTTCAATAATTTTTTATATATTATTTTATATATTATTTTATATAATTTTTATTTAATATTTATTTTTAATTCTCATTTGTCTGTATTTTACATAAATCTTAATATAAATTTTCAAACGCAAAATTGCTTCAGCGGTTTTAATGCGCAAATTATATATGTATATAATATAATTATTATTATAATTTTTTAGTTTTTAAATTATTTAATTCTTCTTTTATGCTTTATTAAAATTAAATATTTTATATACTTTTTATTACTTATTTTTTTTATATTTTATTAACGAGTTTTAAATGTTTGTTTTTCTAAATTTTATTCTATATCTTATATTTTTAATTTATATTTTGTAATCTTTAGTTAACTATTATTGTTTAAATCTTTGCCTTTTCCAATAAATAAATTTTTTATTTATTATTATTTATATTTAAATTAAAAATTTTACATTTCACTTGTTTTCATATTAAATTTTTCTTTCAGTTTCTATAATTAATAATTTTCCTTCTATTTATTAGTATTAATTCTGTTATTTTTTAATTATTTTTTATTATTATTTAATTTTTTCGCCTTAATTTTAAGTTTAGTATTTTGTAATTATTAAAATTAATTTTAAAATTTATTCTCAATTTTCTTGCTTATTTTTATTACTATTTTTACTTTATTTTATATGTGTTATATTTTATTAATTTTTATTATTTATTGCTATATTTAAATTATTTTTAAATTAATGTTTTTTTGTAAATTTTATTATTATGATTTATTTATTTAATTATTTTTAAAGTGTTTGACCTTTTTCCTTATTTTATTTTAATTAAATATCTTATTTTTAAACGATAATTTTTGTATTTACGGTTATTATTATTTTCATCTATTCGAAATTTTTGATAAAAAATAATGATAATTTTTTTTATTTTTTTTTGTTTGAATCATATATTTTAGTTATATTTTTTTCTTTTTATTTATTTTTTTTTTTAATTTATTAATTTATTATTTTATATTTCAAATTTTTTTATATATTTTTTTCTCAATTGCAGTTGTAGTTCATTTTATTAATTTTATCTCAATTAATTAAGATTTTTATTTTTTTTATAATTTTTTTTTCTTTTTTTAAACACATTTATCAAACGTAGCCAATGCGTAATCGCCACCCACGTTGCCTACTACTTTTTCTCAACCATTTTTTATGGGGTTTTTTTTGTTGTTTTTGGTTATTAAAACACTAACAGCTGTCATGGCTGCGTGAGCGCGCCATATATGTCCAAAGCTTTTAAAACACATTGTGCTGTTAATGTGAATTCTGCGAATGATGTTGATTTATTGTTTAAATTTTTTTATTTTTTCGAAAACCTCACGTTGCAGCAATAATCGTAAAATAAAATTAAATAATGTCTTAAATACCTGAACATTTGTTATACCATGAAAATTGGCAAACAAAATAAATGGTTTTTTTTTCAAGTGATTTAATATTTCTATTTAAAACATTTTAGTTCTTTCATTGAATCTGAAAAAGCGCGGCGAAAGAGTTTCAATTTTACCCAGGTATTAACTCGCGAAGCTTTTACTTATCAACATTTTAGCTCAATAGTTAGCAACAGCTTTATTTAAGCTTTCCAGTTTGAGGGCTCAATGGAAGTTGTACTGGGAATGCTCAAAATCTCCTGAAAGGTCTCAAATAACTTGAAAAATGTAGACGATGACAACAATTGTTTCTTGTAAAGTTCATAGCAACTTCCATTGAGCTTTTAAATATGAAAGCTTAGTTTTTTTTTTTTGCTAATTGGAATAATGTGAAAACACATTTCCTATATTTTAATTAATATTTTAAACAATTAAAAAGCCATAACGACAAGTGCCCTTTAAGCGCATGTTGAGGTCAAATGCTTATCAATAAAATATATTCATACCAAAAAGCTTAGCGCCATTAAATACCATTAATACGTCACGCTTGCGAATGCTGACATTTAAAAATTGCTTTTTCAACGCAATATTTTTGATTACAAAAAGAAATTAATTGATTAATCAAAGCCAAAAAAAATTCCATA